ACCTGAAGTGAGGAGTTCAAGGCCAGCCTGGCCAACATAGTGAAACTGTCTCTACTAAAAATACAAAAATTAGCCAGGCGTGGTGGCAGACACCTGTAATCCCAGCTGCTTGGGAGGCTGAGGCGGGAGAATCGCTTGAAACCAGGAGGCGGAGGTTGCGGTGGGCTGAGATCACACCACTGCACTCCAGCCTGGGCAACAAGAGCGAAACTCCGTCTCAGGAAAAAAAAAAAAAGCCCTGTCTATAGCGAAAGGGGTTTCCAGATGCCAGGGTGGGGGTCAACGTGGGGGTGGGAAGAAAGGGGGCATTGCCCACCCTCCCCATGCAGAGCCCTGCCCTCCCGCCGGGCTGTTTGCCTTGGCGGTGCGGCTGCATTTCGGCCTGCTCGGGTTGCCAGGGAACAAGGCCAGAAGGTGAGGCCTGAAACCCAATCAGGCTGTCCAGCCCTGGCTCCAAGGGTCCAGACGCCAGGGAGCTCGACGGAGACAGGAAGTTAAAAATAGATGTACTCTCTCCCTGTCAGTGTGGTCAGCTTCTTCCTCACCCTTGCACAAGGTGGGCCGCAGAGGCGGAGGCCAGGTGGGGGCTGCCCAGGGACCTCTGGATCAGCCCAGGCCCAGCATCCTCTGGAATCTCTGACAATGGGGTGGGCAGCCGGAGGGGTCCGGGATACTTATAGCCATCGGGGTTGTCTTTCCTAGACTAGGACTTGGACACTATGGGACCCTTGCTGATGGCCAGCGAACCCAGGCATCAAGGGGATGGGTCACCTCTGTCCTCCTTCCTCCCAAAGGACTGAGCCCAGGAATTCAGGAAGGGGCCAACGAGAGAGAGGGGCCCAGCGTGGGGGCACTTTCTGGCAGAGCTCCCCTTTAGGGTCTGAGGGGACATTTCCCAGGGATGCAGGACATTCAGAGGCCCTCATAGGCCTGGCAGGAGGACAGCTGCAGGCAAGGCCAACTACGGAATTCGCAGGGTCTAATGCAAAATAAAAATGCAAGGCTCTTTATTCAAAGTTTATTTTATTTATTTATTTATATATTTTTTTTTGAGACGGAGTTTCGCTCTTGTTACCCAGGCTGGAGTGCAATGGCGCGATCTCGGCTCACCACAACCTCCGCCTCCTGGGTTCAGGCAATTCTCCTGCCTCAGCCTCCTGAGTAGCTGGGATTACAGGCATGTGCCACCATGCCCAGCTAATGTTTTGTATTTTTAGTAGAGACGGGGTTTCACTGTGTTGACCAGGATGGTCTCGATCTCTTGACCTCGTGATCCACCCGCCTTGGCCTCCCAAAGTGCTGGGATTACAGGCTTGAGCCACCGCGCCTGGCCAATTCAAAGTTTATTAAGAATTTTGGGCTGTATGCGGTGGCTCACACCTGTAATCCTAGCACTTTGGGAGGCCGAAGGGGGTGGATCACCTGAGGTCAGGAGTTCAAGACCAGCTTGGTCAACATGGTGAAACCCTGTCTCTACTAAAAATACAAAAATTAGCCTGGTGTGTGACACACACCTGTAATCCCAGCTACTCAGAAGGCTGAGGCAGGAGAATTGCTTGAACCTGGGAGGTAGAAGTTGCAGTGAGCTGAAATCGCACCACTGAACTCCAGCCTGGGTACAAAGTGAGACTCCATCTCCAAAAAAAAAGTAATTTTGGCTGGGCACAGTAGTTCACACCTGTAATCCCAAAACTTTGGGAGGTAGAGGTGGGTGGATCACCAGAGGCCAGGAGTTCGAGACCAGCCTGACCAACATGGTAAAACCCTACCTCTACTAAAAATACAAAAATTAGCTGGGTGGTTTGGGTGTGGTGGCTCACACCTGTAATCCCAGCACTTTTGAAGGTTGAGGAGGGCCAATCACCTGAGGTCAGGAGTTCAAGACCAGCCTGACCAACATGGAGAAACCCTGTCTCTACTAAAACTACAAAATTAGCCAGGCGTGGTGGCACACACCTGTGATCCCAGCTACTTGGGAGGCTGAGGCAGAAGAATGACTTGAACCCAAGAGGCAGAGACTTCGGTGAGCCGAGATTGCACCATTGCACACCTGGACAACAGAGCAAGACTCTGTCTCAAAAAAACCCAAAAAAAGTTTATTAAGCATTTCTACTTAGGAGGCTGGGGTGGGAGGATCACCTGAACCAAGGAGGTCAAGGCTGCAGTGAATAGAGATCGCACCCCAACCTGGGCGACAGAGACCCCTGCCTCAAAAATAACAAAAATTTCTAAAGCACGACCGCAAAGCATTGAATACAGTGCAGAGCGCAGGCTGCGAGCTCATGAAGCTGGCCTTGGCTTTGGGGTCTGCAGAGCCTCCCCCTCCTTCCAGACCACACTGTTGGGGGTCCCAACAGTGCTTCAGTGGACCAGCCCACTCCAGAGCACACAGCTTAGAGAGGGTCACCTGGGCCAGATGACGCCCTGGCCAGGTAACCTGCACAGCTGACCTTCCAGCCTTGATGACAGGCCCCAACAAGGGGGTGGAGGACCCTGATAAAGCCCGGGAAGAGGCAGCTCAGAAATGGTTAAGTCGAGAAACAGCCTCATTTCCTTGACAGTTTATACTTAACTCCCGTCTCAGCAACACTTAAGAAACGAAGGGTCCTCCCCTCTCCCTGACCACTGTCACACGTGCCAGCTACACACCTGCTTTCTGTCCCTTAAAGCTCATTCCCACCCAGGACATCAGCACCCCCTGTTGCCTCCCCCACCAAAGGCTTCCCGGCCCACCCCCACCTGCACACGTGCAGGTCCACTTCTTCTGTCCCTTCCTGCCTCGGCTCCCCGTGCCCCTGCCTCGTTGGGCTCTCCGGGGAGACCCCGGCTGCCCTCCCCCGCTCCCATTTCAGTTCCCTCACAGCACTGCCTCCAGCTGGAGCTGTCTCAGTTATCGTTGGCTTATTGTTTGCTGCCACCAGCTCCCAGGACGGTGGGGCCTGGGTCTGTCCCCAGAGCCCGGGACAGGGCTAGAGTCAGTGCTCCGTGACCATCTGCTGCGTGAACAGGGGTTCCTAAGGTGCTTCCAGCTGAACCCTGGGGTCCTGGTACCCAGCCCCCATGGGAAGGGAGCCCTGGGGAAAGGTGAGTGAACTGGGAGGGCTGACCTCAGGGGGTGGACGTGGGGTCTGATCCCAGCAGTAAAGGCCCCTGGGAAAGAGCTCAGGAGCATGCACAGAAGCCACCTGGCCTACTCTGGGGCTCAGGGTCCTCCCCCAGGACCTGGCAGGAAGTCAACACCTGCAGGCAGTTCAGCAGGAACTGGAGGTGGGGGAGTGGGACAGGAGCTCCACGGGAAGGGCAGGGAGGCTGGCGTGGCTGGAGCCCAGGGAAGAAACGAGACTGCCGGGGCCAGGTCCCAGGGGCCTCTAGGCGAGGAGGGCACTGGGTTGCATTCTGAGCAGGATGGGAATCTTTGCAGGGTTTCAAGTCGGGGAAGAGCATGGTGGAGTTTGGTTGTCGACTGACTCACTGACCTACTGGGTTCTGTACTCTGCTCTGGCTGGGGCCCTCCACCTGTTCACCCCATCAGCTCAGACAGACAGAGGTTTGGCCCCTTCAGGATGTCGGAAAACTGCCCCACTCCCCAGCCTGCCCACTGGCAAATGGTTCCCCAGGGGCTTGCACAGTGCCTGGCATGAGGCCCTGGAGCCAGGGGACAGCAGGCCTGAGCTCCTCGGGCTATGGCCTCTGGGAGCAGAAACAACCTTCCTCCCAGTAACTTAGTACCTGAAGCCAGAGAGGAGACACAGGATGGGCAGCAGGCAGGGCCTGGCCAGCCAGCACCCCACCCCCCGGGAACTCGCAGGCTCAGTGCTGCCCCCCAGGCCCATCTGTGTCAAGCCTGCTCCCTCATCTGATAACCCCCAACACCCCGGCTGCACCGGCTGCTGGCCCTGCCTCCCTCGTGGTTCCTTCCTGACAGCCCCGCCAGCAGGGCGCACCATGATTCCCATAGTTCAGATGAGGACAAGGCTGGAGCGGTGAAGTCACGGGCCCCAGGTCACAGAGCCAGGAGAGGTGGCACCATTGCCTAATCTTTCTGACAGGAAGGACATTCCTTCCCAACCCTGCTCTTAGGAGACCCAACCCTGGGCCAGTTTTGCTGTGTGACCTTGGGCCAGCAGCTCCACCTATCTGAGTCTCTGGTTTTTTGGGTTTTTGTTTTTGGTTTTGGCTTTTTTGGGTTTGTGTGTGGTTTTGTTTGTTTGTTTTGAGATGGCATCTCACTCTGTCACCTAGGCTGGAGTGTAGTGGCACCTCCGCCTCCTGGGTTCAAGTGAACCTCCCACCTCAGCGTCCCAAGTAACTGGGATTGCAGGCACCCGCCATCACACCCAGCTAGTTTTTGCATTTTTAGTAGAGATGGGATTTTACCATGCTGGCCAGGCTGGTTTTGAACTTCTGATCTCAAGTGATCCACCTGCCTTGGCCTCCCAAAATGTTGGAATTACAGGCATGAGCCACCGTGCCAAGCCTGGTTTTTTGGTTTTTCAAAAAATTTTTTGGAGAGATGGGGTCGTGCTATGTTGTCCAGGCTGGTCTTGAGTTCCTGAGCTCAAGTGATCCTCCTGCCTCAGCCTCCCAAAGTGCTGGGATTATAGGTGTGAGCCACGGTGCCCAGCCAGAGCCCCAGTTTTTTTTTTTTTTTTAATCGGCCAAGTAGACCTGCTAAGCTCAGGCAGATCAACTACTTGAGTATTTGAAATGTTAACTGTTCAGGTCTCAAGGAAATGATAGATTCATGAAACACACACACACACGCTCTCTCTCTCTCCTCTCTCCCCCTCCTTTCTCCTCTCTCTCTCTCCCCCCTCCTTTTCTCCTCCCTCCCTCTCTCTCTCTCTCTCCTCTCTCTCTGGCTTGGGCTGCAAGCCGGCCTGAGAGTGAGCCTTCAGATCTGTCAACAGAAGAAGATGTCCCTGCCCTGCCCCAGCCCATTAACAAGCCCCCTGCCCTTCACCCTTACCCCCCCACACACGCAGGATACCAGAACTTACGCGATCCTCCGGCTCTGCGCGCTGCTGAAGCCTGCGAAGGAGGCGCTCCGGCCCACAACCCCCACGGTCCCTGTGTCCCCAGGGGACAGGAACCGCAACCTCACCGACATGGCGGTCACCTGCTAGGAGAGAACAGGGGGGTCAGCCTGGTACCACCACACAGTGAGTGCTGCCCGCAAGCTGGCCACCTTCCACCACCACCTCCAGGCCTCACAATGGCCCCAGAGAGTGGTGGCAGCTGGTACTGTGCCCAGCTCACAGATCAGCAAACTGAGGTCCTATCAGGTTAGGGGACCTGCTGGGGAACAACGGTGGGAGCAGAATTCGAACCCAGGTGTCTGTACTCTTTTACTCTGAGCTCAGGTCCTTAATGCCCGGCCATGCTGCCTCCCAGAGCAGGGGACGGCGCCTCCTGAACAGCCCCTCCCGCCCAGCTACTCCTCTCCCCTCCTCCAGCCCTCCCTGAGCACCTAACGCAGGTGCACTCTGCAAGGCAGGCCAAGTCCCCCACCCTCAAGGGCCCCGGCTCAGCAGGGAGGCCCACCCACAGCTGAATAGTTACAAGACAGAGTCGGTGTTGGAGTGACGGGGGTGCCCAGGGGGCATCTGACCCCTCAGTGGAGAGGCACCCAAGAGCTGAGGAGGAAGGCTGAGGTGGGGTAAAAGGGAAGGGTGTCTGAGGCCAAGGGAACAGCGGGGGCAAAGTCCAGGATGCATGAGGGGACTTGGTGTCATCCAGAAACAGCAAGACGCTCAGTGGGCTAAAGATGAGGTCAGAGAGCCCGGTGAGGTGGCTCATGCCTATAATCCCAGCACTTTGGGAGGCTGAGGTGGACGGGTCACGTTGAGGTTGGGAGTTCAAGACCAGCATGACCAACATGGAGAAACTCTGTCTCTAGTAAAAATATAAAATTAGCTGGGTGTGGTGGTGCACGCCTGTCATCCTAGCTACTCGGGAGGCTGAGGCAGAATCGCTTAAACCCGGAGGCAGAGGTTGCGGTGAGCCGAGATTGCACCGCTGCACTCCAGGCTACGGAACAAGAGCAAAACTCAGTCTCAAAAAAAAGAAAATAGATGAGATCAGAGAGACCGACAGGGCTCAGGTCCCGAGGGGCCTCGGTAGCCCCAAGGAGGCTTACAATTGGCCTTACAATGGGGCACAGGTGACCGGGAGCCATGGGAGGGTTTTGAGCAGGGGGTGACAAAGTGCGATTCACATGAAGCCCAGCTGCTGGTGTCGAGGGCTGCTTCCGCTCCCATCCCTCGCTGTGTCTCCGACCTGTCCTGCGTTGGGGTCAAGTCCCAGCCCTGGCCACCTTCTCTTTTTTCCAAACCATCTCTAGATTGGGAAAATGCCACCCTATCCTCTGAGAATATAGATCAGCGTCTTCCAGCACAGGCAGCGGGAAAGTTCTCTTTCATATCTAACCTACATCTCTGCTGCTACAGTTTCATACTTTACTCCTTCGCCAGGGTGGTGTTAACCCAAGGATTCCAGGGGCCCCACTGCCCGGACCAAACCTACAGAAAAGCTCCAGTCCACCAACCCTCATATTCCTGCACGATGAGACCCCAATATTCCAACATCCCTTTCCCCCAGCAGGCAAGTCCACCCGCCACACCTTTGTTCACATGGGGGCCTCGGCCTGGAAAACTTCCTCTACCAAGCTACATCTGCCCAGCATCTACTATTGCACCTCCTGGCAGACCCATGCCGCCTCCACAAGCCTCCTCCTCCCATACGCCACCACCCCACAGCCCCTCGTGCGCTGTACATAGGAAAGCTTGGCAGCAAAGAGGGTGGACCTGGGCTCAGATCCCAGCTGTGCCACTCACAGGCTCTGGGCCTCAGTGATCACAAGAGTAAAATGGGAATTCAGAAAGGACCTCCCACGGAGACTGCTGGAAGGACCAAGGAGAGCATGTACTGAGAGCCCACAGTGTGCAAGAGACACGTTATAAGAGCTGGCTGTCTCTGTGCAATTTGCTAAGACCCCGCCCTGCAGGTAAGCCAGGTGAGCCAGGTGACCCAGATGAGCCAGGTGACCCAGGGAGAGCCAGCAGCTTCTAGCCCTGATGGAAGGTGGCAAGCATTTGCTGCCCACTCGCTGTGTGGCAAGCCTGGTGCCCCACGGGTGGCTACGAATCCATGAGCTGCTATGAATCCATCACCAGCAGTGTTGTGTACAGATGGGGAAGTTGAGGCATCATTCATCAAGTGCTCATTACTAAGCTAGCCCTGCACTAAAGGCTTTGTGTAAATTATGAAATTCACACAACCCTCTTAAGAACAGGAGCTTTTGATGATCTAATTCCATAGATGAGGAAACCGAGGCTCAGGCAGGTGACAAGACTAGCCTGGAGACCCCAGCAGGGAGCCTGAGCACTGGGTTTAGAACCCGATGATGTCCAATGACAGAGCTTGTTATTGCACGTGGTCTTACCTGAGGTCGGGAGTCCCTTGCGCTGGGGCCCCCCACACCGTAGAGAGGTCCCCTACATAGCCCCCGCCTGTGCTGTGCTAAGCCAGCTTGCACCAGCTCACAAGAGTCAACTGGGCCGGGCACAGTGACCTCACACCTGTAATCCTAGCACTTTGGGAGGCCGAGGCGGGCAGACTGCCTAAGCTCAGGAGTTCAAGACCAGCCTAGGCTATGTGGTGAAACCCTGCCTATGAAAATACAAAAAATTAGCCAGGCGTGGTGGCAGGAGCCTTTAATCCCAGCTATTCGGGAGGCTGAGGCAGGAGAATTGCTTGAACCCAGGAGGTAAAGGTTGCAGTGAGCTGAGATCACACCACTGCACTCCAGCCCGGACAACAGAGCAAGACTCTGACTCAAAAAAAAGAAAGAAAAAAAACCAGTCAACTGTTAAATGTTCGGGAATTTTGTGAGCCTGTTGACATCACGCTGGTGATTTGAAATCAATCATAGTAGGAGCATTTACACCACGGAAATCGGCAAATTCTACAAGTTAGGACTTTCTGTCTGCTGGTCATTATACGTCAATGAGCTCCTCACTGCTATTATTGCCCCTATCAGCACCTATGCAGGGGCAGGGAAGCTGCTCAAACTGCTTGATCCACCCCCCCACACCCCTCATCCACCCACCTAGCACCCCACCCCCGCCCCGCCAAGCCAGGCAAGGGAACAGAAGGAATAGGGAGGGAGTCCCCAAGGTGAGCGGCTGGGATGTGGACCCCGGAGCCAGCCTGGGGACTGAGCTGGAAGGGCCTCCCCACGCCTCTCTCTGCACCTCCCGGTCAGAAGCCTTCTGGGCCGTTCCTGGAACTTCACCCCAGTCACTCCACTTCAAGGTCAGAGAGGAGGACAATTGCTAAGCAGTTCCTCCACATTCAACGCTCGGAACAAGCCCTGGGTTCTCCCGCTCAGAGTGAGAGAGAAGAGGATGAAGGAGGAGAACTAAGCTTGGTGCAGAGCTGACCGCCTGCCGTGGTCACCCACAGCTCTGGGGCGGGTCAGTGGCTCCATTTTTCATCTGAGGAAAGAAAGTCTCTGTGAGGTGAGAGGCTACTCAGAGACACACAT